CCTCGGCGTAATTTCGTTTTCGTTTTGCAGGCGCATATCCGGCCAAGTTCTGTTGGTAATACCAAAGGGGCGGTGGCGCTGGAGCGGGAACTGGAGCTGGAGGGGATTAGAAGACGCCGCGTGCCAAAGTCAACGCCGGCAACCGGATATCCGGCGGGATGGGGAGCAACAACTGAACAGCAAACATAAATAAACTGTAGCCGCAGAGCGGGACGAATTGAGGGGGGCGGTACGAAACAAAGGCGTGTTCTTTGCATACACAACGATTTAAGCTAGTTCAAGGGGAACTTCGGGCACTCAACCTTCTCCCACGCCAGTCACACTCCCTCGGTCTTTCGGTCTTTCGGTCTCTCAAAGGACTCGCAAAGCTGTTCGAAAATATAACGAACGCTGGCAAAACAAACTTAAAATGTACCAACTCTAAACTGCAGCAAAACCATGTCATTTATGTCCCCAGAGATTCCCAACTTGTAATCCAAGTGGCCACTTTAACTTTCCATAACATATATAAACTGAAGACTGTTTACAATATTTTAAACTCTGTCATGTACTTTTACAAGGTACAGAAAACAAAAAAGGGTCATTTTTATTACTGATTTTTGTTGTAAACAAGGTTTTATCTTTAAAACTCATTCACTGATTAAACTGAACTTAAATTATCAAGCTAAAATAAAACAGCTTTCAACAAAGATTAAACGTTATCCTCTTGGGGTTGCCAAAGTCATCTCGTCGACATTTTTTAATTTATTGAAAGAAAAAATCTATGATGAAAATGTAAACACATTCAAGGAAACTAAATTACAATTTAAAAAATATATTTCGGTATTGGGAAGAATAGCTTCCTTATAGAATAATATAGCTATAGATAGGGGAAATGTAACAGCAGTTTGGATTTCAAAATCTGAAAGCATTCATGGAAACTAGTCAAACCCAAATTATTGTTCGTCAGGCTTAACTCGCGCTTGGATATTACAGCAACTAAATGATTGGTGTAGAACTTTATTTATTAAGACCAATTAAATTTCAGATACAAGTCCTCAATTATATTTTACCAAAAAATATAGAGAAGCGAAATATAAATAACTTATTTAAAAATAGTTAACATCAAAGTGCAGACTCAATAACGATGTTTTCAATATATGATTTGTTTAACCATACCTAAAATACCTCAAATTTTAATCGACCTTAAAGATATAGCCAATTTTTCCTTGAAATCTTTATAGCTGTGTAATATCCATAAGCAAGCTAAGCTAGAGGAATTCCAAATCGGTTCTGATTCGTTTCTATCAGCCCTTTTAGAATTTATCAGTCAAAGAACGGTTACATTTCTACACCCATTTCTACGCCCACATTACACAGGCTTATTATATTAGTTCAACCGAAATAAAAAGAGCTGCATATATCTATTTGTATCTATTTATTAAGTCCTAGTTCAGGTTTGGGGATGCATCCCTAAGTGTTAACAATTTCACACAGAATTCGACATAGAACGGCTCAGCCCCGAAGCACCACTTAATAATTTTTTATTTTAAAGAAAGAATCGGATTAAAATGGTCATCCAATCGGCACAAAATAAAAATTTGAATAAAACCTATAATAATAGATCAAGTTTTCTCAGTTCATTGGGTTCGAAAATTTCACGTCATGAGGCATAAATCAACTAATAGTAAAACGACAGGGATTATCTGAATATGGGAGCGGAAAGGGTGGAGATGGGAAAGGATCCACCCCATGCCTTATCATGTGGAGCGCGGTGGGCAGCGGGAGCAGGCGACAGGACCTCCAACTTGATGGAGGCCAAGGGATTTCCGAATTTCTGTATTTTTCCATACCTATTTGTTTGGGGACAACTTAAAAAATCAATTTGCCGCCCCACAAAGGGAAGCCGCTGCCAGGTAGCCGCAGACACGAGGGGCATGCGTAGGAATATGGAAAATTTCAATTTGTTTTGTGTGGAAAAAGTTTCTGACACTTTTCCAGGCCAAACACAAAAACAAACGGAAAACTTTTCGCTGGCCAGTTATGAAATCGCTTATTACCCGCACCTGAAAATCTGGAAATCGGAGGCGACCCATCGGAAAGTAGGGACCAGGAGAGCCGGGACCCACTGAGAAAACTGGGTCCGAGCCGAGCTGAACTCATCTGAACCTGGTCGGCGGAGCAATTCATTTTAGTGTTTGACTTTTGGCTGCTGCGTGAGGATGGGTTCCGCTTTTTTTTTTGGGCTGCAAACTATGGGAAACTTTTGCTTATTAAACGAAGGAACGATTTCCGAGGTGGAGGATTTGCGGAGCAGTTTGCCAAATTGTGAATTGGCAATCAGAGTCCACATGGAATTGTTTATACACCCGTATTCGGGCCAGACGAGGACCCACTCCACTCGTGTATGTGTGTCGCCGTAATAGAATGCTAAAATATTCATAAATTGCCGCAAACAGAGGCGGGGACGAAGGGGCGTGTCAGCGGAGGCAGACAAACAGGCGACCGACCCCCTTTGATATAATAAGCCCCGCTTCGCCGGGGAGTTTCCAGGGGGTCAGCGGGAGGGAGTTGCCTTGGAGAGGAGCCATCAAATTATACGCAAATATTGAATTAATGAAATTATTGACAGGCGACCGGGCCCCTAGGAGTCCCAACGTATGTATGTGGGTGGGTTTGGGAGTGGGCTAGCGAAACCAGGTCCTCTGGAGGATAGCCCCATACAGTGCTCCACTTGTTGCCCCACTCGCAGTGACAGGTTCTGTGGTCAGTGAATTGCCAAATAAATTACAGAAAATTGCCGACAAAGGTTCAATCAACTCGGCAATGTGTGCCAGTTTCTGGGGGTTAAAGGTACGGATAACCATTTGCAGAAACGATCGGCTTAATGGAACGAATTCACACCCATAAATAAGCACAATAATACTTAATAATTCATGGCATAAGAGAACTAAGTGTCGAGAGGAACTTTGCAAATTTATGAACGTTAAGAACTACTTCTAAATTTTATAATGAAGGTATTGTGTGTTTTATTTCTAAGTAAATAAATAAACTACTGAACTTATAAAACCTTGTTTGTTCTTGGTTCATGGTGTAAAAATAAACTAGATTCAATAATATTTAATTATTTATTCGTTATTTAACAAATAAACTACTGCATTTTTTATATGTCCTTTATTTATGCATACAGTTCGTAGCTAAATATTTACAAAGTGTATGAAACTATCTGAAAACAATAATTTTTTGCATGATTTAAGATGGGGATTGGATAATTTATATTATAAAAATAAATTAGTGTCGAGAGGAACCTTGCAATTTTATGAACGTTAAGAACATAACTTCTAAATTTTGTAATGAAGGAGTCGGAATTTGCACAGATGCTTATGTTTGGTACCATAATAATAACAAACTTTGAGACTAAACGGAAAGAAGAGATCTCTGAAGAAAGTTTAAAAATCCTAAAAAAGTATACACATGTGCTTGGTTTAAAAATATATTAGGTCTAATAAAATGTAAGTATTTATTTCATATACAAAAAAATAGCTACTGAATCTATAAAATCTAATTAATTCTTGGGTCATGGTGTAAATATAAACTAGGTTCGATAATATGTGATTATTTATTCATTATTTAACATATACACTACTGAATTTATAATACCTCATTAATTTATGCATACAATTCGTGCCCAAAACATTTACAAAGTGAATGCAGCTATCTAAAAACAAGAATTTTTTGCATGATATTAGATGGTGGCTTTTCTGGCATGCCCTCGCCCACTTTTGGAATATCCTGCTCACAAAATATGCAGCCCGGGGGATGGGGAATGCCATACATATATGCAAGTGATGATTTGACACAATGCCAGCCCAGAGGGGCCGAGGGACCCATAACCATAGCCATGGACCACACCCACGGCGAGGTGAGGGAGTGTATCAGAAAGTTGCAACACTTTATGGCCCATAAATATTTATGTCTCTTGTTGCTGTTGTGGTCGAACTTGAGGGGGGGCAGGAGCGGGGAGGGAAGTCAAGTCGATGTGGGCAAATATTTTGGCAACAAAATGCAGGCGGAGAGCCCGTTGACAGGCGATGTTAACGGACTTGGGTATGTATAACAGGGGCCCACTTTTCGACCGGTCGAGACCAGGTTATGGCTGTCAGTAGGATTCCCCGATTTCAGATACAGCCAGCCAGCCAGCCAGGTGAGTGGTTTCAGGCCTCGATTCCCAGGAATCTGTCACCCAATGCTTACTGAGCGTCTCATGTGTACGGAATGGCATATGGAAGATTCCGCGCCGCTTTTCCGGTCTAGTGCGCTTCGCTTTGATCAGCCCCGGCAACCAGGTTGTGCGCGCTGATTTTTAATAAAGTAACAAGTGCTCCTGTGAGTACTCACCCCCAGCTCCACGTAGATGGTATAGATGGGGTACGGCAGGGCAATCACCATTCCGGTCAGCCAGGTGGCGCAGCAGCAGACGAATCCCGGCAGGCGGCCCTTCAGCGGATCGTTCAGCCACCGCATCCGGTCCCAGGCGATAAGGATGTGCGAGATCATGGCCACGTGCAGCGGTATGTCCTGGGAAAATGCAAAAGTACATGTCAATATGGGGATATCGGTAGGTAACTGCCTCCTTCTTTTCTGTCCTAGTATATTCAGCTTAGAATTCTAAAATTCTAACGTTTAGAGAAAAAAAACTCGGTACTATTTACTTTTTAAAAACTTAAAAACCTCCAACATCCATAGTTTTGTAGAGCTAGAAGGAACTCCTTTCCAAATGTTACCAAATTATCAAATGTTTTTATATGTTATTCATTGTGATAGTCTGTTTTATAGCAAAATACCTTTTTTCTTATTTAATTAATTTGGTTTTCTAATCAGTCCCTCACTTATTTAAGCAATCAATTTCTTTCTAATGGTTCATTGTAAAAACTCCCTCATTTATGCCAAATTGTTATTATCCAAATGTAAGTTTCTGAAGGCTCAAAATTCAAATTTTATTAAGTTATTTCAGGAGCAACTAAAGTCAAAATATACAGAAACATCGTCGGTTATTATTCGGTGTCCGACTCTTCCTCGTTTCCCATTGTCCAATCAGAATCATCGAAGGAGTCCTCTTCCTCTTCCTCATCGGTATTCTCTTTTTCAGTCAAGCTCTCCTGTTCAGAGGGCTCCGTGTCCACGTGTTCCACATCAATGTACTTCTCCTCTTCTCCTTGGGACACCACCACCACAGCATGAGAATTCTTCTCTGCTGGCTGTTTCGTCTCGTCTTCGGAATCGGTCGAATCGGTCCAATCGGTCATGGAATCCTCCTTTCCAGTAAGGACTACTGGAGGTGGGACCACTGGATATAGGATCCCTGGAAATGAGACCACTGCAAATGGGTCCACTGGAGATGGGACCACTGGAGAAGGAACCACTGGAAGTGGGTCCACTGGAGATGAAAATAATGGAAGTGAGACCACTGGAAGTGGGACTACTGGAGATGGGACAACTGGAGATGGGAACACTGGAAGTGGAACCATTGAAAATGGGTCCAATGAAGATAGGTCCACAGGAAGTGGGTCCAATGGAGAAGGCTTATCTAGTCCTAGATACTCGAAGAGACTGTCAAAATCATCGGGTCCAATATCCTCATCTAGGGTCATGTTATTATCAAATGCGCCGGCTAGCGGATCCTCTTTCTCTGGAATGAGCTCAGCAGGAGGATGAGCAACTTGCAGCTGCGGTTCCTGCGGCTCCTCCTTAATGCCCAGCACGTCAAAAACATCCTCAAAGGTGACAGGCCCCTTTACAATGCCCACATTGTCCGGCACTTCGATGTCCCTCAAGCGCATGCAAATGTTCTCAATTTCGCCCCAACGCTTCATTTCCTCTTTCATTTCCTTTACGCTCCGAAACTTTTTTGGATTCTTTACTTGGGTCAAAGAGTGATCGCACAGATTGTTCTTATGCCAAGTGGTTTTCCCAAGGGCTCCCTTCGGATTTTTCACCTTGACATATTGATGATCCAAGCTAACTAAGCGGCTAGCATCAGATTGCCGCACTGGTTTCCCATTCGGTTTATTCTTACTTGAGAGGTAAACTTCAAGCGAAGCAGCCTGACTCTTTTCGGGTTCCGAGTTTGGGAAATCGAAGTTAACCATTGGATCTGCCTGATGGAACCCATTCTTATTGGAGAGGTCAATTGGAGAGTCTTCGTTCTGAACTAAGGTATCATTACTTGACGGTGGTTGATACTTTGAAGAAATAGGCTCCAGCTTGGGCATCTGGTGGAATGCATGGGTTGGCAGGAGCGCTTCAACATGTTCCTGCAGAACAAAATTGTTTGCTTCCTTCAAGGTGCGATTCCATTTCGAACGCCATTGGTCCAGAAAAGCGATATGTTCCTGCACGAAAGACGGCTGTTGGGTAGTGGTAACATTTTGTTGAACGTTCTCCTTGAATTCTTCAAGGTTACCATGCGGATTGCCTTTTGAGACATTTTTTATCTGGTGCTGAGGGCTTTGTTGAGGAAAAATAGTCTTGTTAGACAAATCCACGAAGCCCTTTTCGAATCTGGCCAGTTTGGCTATGGGTACTAGCTTAGGCATTTCTGGCAATGGGGGATTGGATGCACCCATTTTGACGCCCATCTGGATAGGACTTTCTACAACTTCATTTCGGGGAGCATGTTTCCCGCCGCGCTGGCCATACTCTTTCTTCGAATGATTCTTAAATTCGTTATGCTTTGGCTGTAAAATATTTAGAAGAAATCAGCAATCACAATTGTATCAGCTTTTTTCGCCGCTGCTCACCATTTTGTGGCTGCCCTTTTACTTAACGAGAAAATTCTTGGAAAAACTGTCAGCGAACTCTGCGCATGCGCGCACGTTGACGTCCACAAGGTCACGATTTGCTTTGAAGAAGAAGCCAAATTTTCTAGGCTCCAAAAGACTCTAACACAACATAATTTATTCTAGTATTAGCACAAATACTCTCAACTTGGTTTTCAGACGAATTATTAAGCAATTTTCACAGGTAATAATTTAAACTTTCGCAGATGAACTACCAGCGTGTGTGAAAACGTGCAAAAAGGGGCTGAGTTGCCAGATCGATGCACTATTTAGCCATTCCGATTCGAAGTTCGCGTTTTGGCCTGCCAACTCGTTGCACAAATATTGTAGGTAAATGTTGTAAAATGTGAGCTTCGGTTACAAACTAGAAAGCGTTTATAAGATTTTACCTTTACTGTGGAATAGGAGCCTTCTGTTTTATGTACATATATTAAAAGCTGCATAGATTTTGTAGAAATGTGGTCACACCTCAGTCTGGCAACGCTGGCCAAACTTCCATTTATATACTCTTGCAAAGGGTATTGTAATTATGGTTAGAGCGCTTACTGTTTCAAAAGCGTTTTCGAATTAGCTTAAGATTTATTAAGATACACCTTTATAATTCATGTATACCCTGATCTTGTTGATCGTTGGCCTAAGTCATTTTCTATTTTCCGCTGCTAAAATGTAAAATGTTTTTTATATTTTATTGAATAATAAATAAATAAATTCGCTATAAAATATATATGCATATAATAAATTTATGTCATTTCTTTAACCGCCCCCTGGAGCAAGCAGGGACTATATGTTTGAGGTCTTTAAGCAGCTGATTTAACGCTACTTGTCAGATTTGTCCTCTTCCGCAGCCCAGCGCCTGCCACTCCTCATTCAAAGCCGCCCATCAATCACTCCATTAGCCGGGGATGGGGTTTGGTACAGGATCAGGAACGGGAACGGGAACGGAACCGGGAAAAGGAACAGGAAGAGGAGTTCACCCACATGAGCACACGTGACTATGCAGTGATAAATGTGTGATTGTGTGCGCCAGCTATTTGTCGCCCTTTGTGATAGCAATCAAATCGAATCATATCCCGTTCCTACTACCCACTCCCGTTTCTTCACCCATTCCCATACCGTTTTGCTCCGTAATAGAATCTCCTGCTGCTCCAAGGTTGTAAATGTAATCATTTGTCTGCTCTACGGACGTCGGGCCTAATCGAATTGCCAGGCGGTTTGTCCTCGCCCTCGCCCCTATCCACCAAAGCCACATCCCCATCCTTATCCTCATCCTCATCCTTGGCTTCGACCAGGACGCGGGTCCTTTTCTTCAGGTCGCATTTGTTTTCGCCACACAAAAGCGGCACAAAGTGACAGACGGAGGCGAATCAAATCGAATGAAAGTATACGATTCTATTTGCTTGTGATTTCTGACTCCTAAGCCCCATGCCAATCCACCAGAGTATGTGTCAATCGCACGGTGGCTTCCATAATGAGGTGGGGCACCCAGCACGCGGGACAGGAGACCAGCAGGCGTTGCTCAATCGAGCGGCACCGGATGCCATCTTCTCAGCACACTGCCAAATGGGATAAATATAGCTCAGAGCTGTAGTTAACAGTGATTGCTATGGAATACCGTCTGGCAGGGTGGAATTCAATGGCTAAGTTGGGTCTGCCAAAAACAAACAAGAAAGTCTCATATTTATTCATACCTTAAGATCGAACTGTTTGGCAAGGCTATAAGTTCTCTATGAAAATAACACCATTTATCAAATAGCAATACATTTTAACCTACTGAGTGCATTTAATTTAGCAGGGAATAAAACCAGAACCGGAACTGGAACCGGAACCGGAACCGTTAACCGAAATCCACTGATTCAATAGCGGGAGCCGGAACCGGTACCAGAACCGAAAAAAACATTGGTTATCGTCCCTAATACCGATTCGTTTGTACCGGTGCGGTTTTGGTACCAATTTTCGGTAATGGACCAATGGATAATTACAAATTTTGAAAGGAAATTACACTTAACCAAGACAAAATAAAATTTATCTGTACTTGTTTTTGGTTCTCTTGAAGAGGGTATTATAATGTTGGTCTAAAGTTTGTAACGCACTGATAGAGACGTTTCCGAACCAAAAGCCTACTAATTATTCTTAATTGGAATCTTTATAAGTGTCGAAATACCATAATTTATTTCGTACACTGAAAAAACTATGGAAAAATCAAAGTAAATATGTGGATATTGAGTTTAAAGTTTCGTATTACATATTTGAACTAAATACAAAAAATTTAAAATATTAAAAACAAGTCAGAAAATATTGATATGATATTATTCATGTTTACTTTATATATTTTCTGCCTTAGATCAATGCTTACAATGTTTGAATTAACTATGATTGTTAAATTTAATATTTTCATATTTAAAGTTAGCAAAAACCTCAATGGATAAAAAACAAAGCGAAGGATATTTAAACTTAATATTTTTCGCTCTGTTTTTCATACATTTCGGAACTTTAAATGAACTTTAAATATGGAAATATTAAATTTAATAATAATAGTTAATTTAATTATTTAAAACATTGATTAGTTCACAGAAAATGTGACGAACATCATATAACATTTTTTCAGAGTTGATTTAAATATTTTCAAATTGAATTAGGTAGTTTAATATGATTTGCAATAAGAGGTTCGTTTTTGCATTTAATTTAAATATGTAATTCGAAAATGTATTCAATATGCAGATATTTATTTTCATTTTTCCATCGTTTTTTAGTGTACGCAGTCGACTCGATGCAAAGCCGGTACCGAAACCAGTATGAAACCCTTGAATTTAGCCTTTTAAAATTCATATTCCACTCACCTGCAGCATGGGCAGAAAGAAGCACAGAAACTGGCCAAAGATCCAGTTCTGGATGAGCATGACCATCAGGGAGACGGGCAGGACGAGGGCGCACTGGACGAAGTGGCACAGTGCCAGATTGATGATGAACGCGTGGGTCACGTCCTTGTAAAGCCGGTGGTACATAATGTACACCACGATGATCACGTTCAGGATCACGCCCAGCAGGGCGAGGGCTGCGTACTGGATGAGGAACAGCCAGTAGACCGATTTGATGCTGGACTTCAGGATCGGACCACTCAGCCGCTCCATGTCCACCGTCTCGTTGGAATGAAAGTCCAGGAAGTGGGACAATGCCATGGCATACTTGTCGTGCACGTCGCTCAGCTTCCCGTCACCACCGCCCGCACCATCGCCGCCGGATCCACCGCCTCTGGAGGATCCTCCTCCGCCTCCAGTGCTCGCCGCCAACTGGTAGGCATCCGATCCTCCGACCAAGCGAAGCTGCTCAGCAGGCGACATCCTCACCACCTGCAAATGAACAAGGAAGTTGTTATATAAAACATTTTTAAAGAAGAATTTATTTTGGCCACAGAACGTATGAAATGCTTTTACAGTATTTAAAATTTCTTTAATGAGTTCCAAAATACATTAAATAGTTATAAAATCAATATTTAAATACAAGTGAAATGTTCACTATCAAATCTTGCAGTCAAGGATTAGTACGATTTTTCCTTATAGGATTTCAACAAGTGGAATCGGTTATTTTAGTAAGTCGTTGGTGCATCTTTAAGTGTGCACACTTTAAATTGGTATGGGCGCTCACTTCATCCACCATCATGGGCTCAAAGGTCCTTTTATCGACGAATATCTCCTGATCTTCGCCAACGTCCACTGGAACAAACACTCTGGATGGCATGGGCTTGACTGGTTGAGCGTTTGAGCTCGACTTTCTGCGTTTTCAATCATCGGCGGATTTTTTCTTCATATTTTGACTGCTACCCTCTGTTGGTTGCTACCCGCGGGCTATGGTTCAGCCTTGATCTTATCAATCCCCAGTTCTTGCAATAAGCTCTGTCTCGAAGGGTCGCAGTAATCTAGTCGTATGTTAACACATTCATACTTATTGTTATTCTTCCTCAAAAATCCAATACCAACGGCATCTACCAGAATCGGATCGATCTCGGCCTTTTTAAAGCGCATGCCCAGCGTCATATCCATGATGCGGATTATCTGCGTGGCGGTGACTGGCACATCGAGCACGCGGATGACCTGCAACACCAGGTGTGCCAAACGACAGTTATCTTCCATTATGTCACGTTGTATTTTACCATAAATTTGCACTCTAAAAATTATATTACACTTAATCTTTTCGAAGGAGTTGTGATGCCTGTGAAAGCCGAAATCGTTTTGAACTACTGGAAACCAAAGGCAAGACTGCCTTACTGTTTTGTCTTGGGTAACTCTGATCTGTAATCTAAGCAGAACTTTCTAAAAATCTATTTGCGCGCAATCAAAACGCTGGAAGTCGGAATAAAGATAAGCAACTACATGTTTAGAAAGAATGTTACAAAATTCACCGATTTTAAGGAAGACTTCCGTTCTTAAGTTATAAGGATGAAAACGGAAACGGGTTTTTACTAATATTCCTGTGGCTTTGAATGCGCTAAAGGCAGCACTAATTTTGAGATATTTCATTATTTTTTGAAGTACCTATATATGTATATATTTTTTATATTTTTTTTTTATTTTTATCGGCTGTATTTGAAATTTTAGATATCTTCCTATGTCTATAGTTCTCATACTCGTAAAGCAGGAGTCATCATTAATTGATCTATCGATCATACCTTAAACTACTCCTATTTTATTGAGGCTTTCAAAGGATACTTTTAAATTGGGCTTTGGATGGATTTAAATATGCAAACTTTGTTGCACGTTGAGAGATTATTTCTCGGCAAAAGAAGCCACGACATGCTTGCTGCCTTTGAAATCACAGACTGCTTCACAATCGATCAGCCCAAGATACTTATAAAGGGTCTTATGTCGAGGTTAAGAGCCGAGCATAGAAATGTGACACAAGTACATTTGCTGAAGTTGATATCTATATGCCAATCAAAAGTCCATTTGTCAAACCCTGTCACATACTCCAGCAGACCCAATGTTGAGTTATAATTCTAAAATATTTTTTCTAAAGTTTGAATTCTAAAATTTAAACGTTCGGCACGATGCAATAAAAAATGCTGAACTATTTTGATTTAGCGTTTCGAATAGGAAAATTTTAGACAGTTTATTTAATAGGCCGATCGTATGATCTAGTGTCGTCACAAATATTGATATCAGTACTTTTGTGTGTTGAAGTTGCGATCGTCACTTGTTTTTCACGTCAAGGAGGGGTTTTTGTTCGCTAAAATAATATTAGCTGAGACTAGAATTTCTTATCGACTGGTCTGTCAGGCAAGCTTGTTGTGACTTTTGGAGATCCCATGGAAATCTCCGGACTTTTTGCATTGTTTCGATTGGTAAGTGACGCTCTTGCCGCCTACTGCCCAG